GGAAAGAAAAGAAGGGAGGAAGGGAGGAAGGAATTAAGGAAGGAAGGGAGGGAGGGAGGGGAAAGAGAAAGAAAGAAAAAGAAGAGAGAGATAAAACTCAGGATGCTGATGAAAATAATCAAAGTCCTGAGAGTTTAAAATGATTCATTTTTTTCAAAACATACTCTGTATTAGCCATTATGTGGAGGTGGGGATGTTGCTTTTTGCAGACAATGTTTGCAAAGAACTATTACACAAGTTCCAAAGTGCAAGCAGCCTAATGCAGACACAATAAATTCTTGCTATTTCACTAGAGGGAAGTATCTCCACCACCACTGAAAAAATTAGGGAAGATGCCATGGGGTTCCAGTCCCATGATTCTGAAGGATAACATTTTAGGGTTCGGAACAAAATTTTTCCAGACATGACCCCAAGATTTTTCTGGAAAACCTTTGAACAATCAAATGCAAATTAGAGGTATTAGAAAATGATTGTGCAGATGGTCCCTGACTTACTGTAGTTCAACTTAGGAGTTTTTGACTTTGCAATGGTACAAAATATGCATTCGTTAGAAACTGTATTTTGGATTTTGATCTTTTCCTGGGTTGGTGATATGTGATTCAATACTTTTACATGAGAGACTCAACACCTTATTATAAAATAAGCTTTGTGTTAGGTAGTTTTGCCCAACTGTAGGCTAGGGTAACCATTCTGAGCATGTTGAAGGTAGGCTGGGCTAAGCCCTGATGTTTGGTAGGTCAGGCATATTGAGTGCTTTTTTGACTTAAATTATATGATGAGTTCACTAGGAGGTGATAGTAAGTCAAAGAACATCTATACCCTGGACCCATTTTCAAAAACAATGGATTAATTCTGGGCATCACTGACTGAAATAAGTTAGTTGAGGTTACAGAAAGGATGTTTTGCGAGCAATCAGGGAATGGAATGGACCACCAGGGGTCTGGACAAACTCCATATGCGTTTTGACAGGGCTGATTGATAAGGGAACGCCAGGCCATAGCTGAAAGCATGGGCAGGCTGATCCAATCCTGGAGGTCACACACATCCTGGTGGGGAAGCTAATGGATGAGAGGGACGAATCCACATTTGAAGAGCTTTTGAAAGGCTGGACCAAGAAGAGAACAGTTTAATAGGGATAATTGTGAAGTCTTCTATAGAAGTTGTAAAAAATCAGTTTGCAACAACTATAATGAGCACTCCCTATGTGCTAGAAGATCAAGAATTACCTGCATCTTACTCGGCCCCATTTAATAAAGAAATTTAAAAATCACAGGCCTTTCAAAGAAGAGAGTCCCAAGTAGGGAATTACCTAGAAATCATTCCGTAGGAGGAGTGGTTGAGAAAATTAGAGAATGTAACCCAGAAATGAGAAAGCTGAGGCCAAGCAAGGGAAATGCAGCTAAGTGGAAATATCTGAACTGCTGCAGGTTGAACTTACATCAGGGAATTTCTACACAAGAAAAGGAAGATGTTTCTCACAATTAAATGTGTCCTCAGGAAATCTTTGTGTAGCTTCACTGTGGATCAGGGACAGGACTGTGCCCAAAGGGGCTAAGAGAAAGACAACCTGAAAATAGGTAGGCACAGTATAAGCTGGGAAGGGCTGTGTCAGATGTAAGGCAGAGGTCCAGGGAAGCCGGGGGAACCAAAGCTTCAACCCTGCATACTGGGCCTGGGAGGGGGCACAGAGCAAGTTGTATCTGCATGGGGTGGTGGGGACCATAGAGAGCTTTGCACCAGCAAAGTCTCGGGCTCTCTGCAGAAAGTGGCAAGTGCAGGAAACTCAGAGAGAGGTTGGAGGTCACAAGGAAGAGGCAGCAGAGCCGTAAGACAACTTGGACCAGCACGGAAGGCGGTTCTCTGTGCTGATGAGGGCTACTGCAGAGAGCTCCCTTTGAAGGTTTCAGAGCACAGGTGTGACATGATAGATGCATTCCAGGTCTTCACCCTTCCTGCAGTGTGGGTTTCAGTGCTGGGCACACCAGCAATAAGGATGCTGACTGTAAGTAAGGTTAGAACTGAGAAGAGGAAAAACAAAGGTCCCCTTGGGACATGCTGCGGGGGAGAACCCTGCAGACCTGAACAGCAGGAGAGTGCTGGGAGGAAGGGAAGGGCCTCAGTGTGCAGCAGGGGCACCGGCCCCAGCTCTGAGTCCATGCAGACAGAGAATATGTGCACGTGTGCGTAAGACATTGTGGAAGGGACTCCAACCTTCATTAGGAGGCCAATCTGAAAAGTCTTTATTGCTCTTAAGATTCTGTGATTCTGGGACTTTAAAGTTTTTTCTTGGCTTATCTCAGACTCTCTTCTCACCCCTCAGCAAAAGTGGGTCCCAGATGAGATTTTGCCATCTTCTTTTTGTACTCCTGCTATGGGAGTATGAAAAACACCCAGACCCTCATCTTGGCCCCAGCATCTTTCCCAAACTTGATTCCAAATTTGCCTCTGGACAGCCTCACTTGTCTGCCAACTTGGAAACCAGACAAGTCTCTCCCCAAATTGTTGCTTTCGTGTCGTTGCAGACCATTCCTGTCACTTATGTTACTATATCCAGCTCTGCATATCCCAAATCTTGCCCTTTTCCTGGACTCCCTGCAACTCCTCCTCACCCCCCTGTACACCTGGTAGATTCTGATTCTTACAGGGTTCCTCTATCTTGACGTTATGTTACCCACTCAACCCCTGTTCTCTTCTCCAATGCTCAGAGCCTCACGCTTGGACTAAGGACTAAGAAGCTTTCAACAAGTCCCAGGCCCCGCCTCCCCATTCAGAGCATTCTGGATTGCCTGGTGGATGCTAGTTCACAGCACCCACATCCATCGCCACTCACCCCCTTTTTTCTGTCTCCCCTTAAACCAGATAGAAGCTTTCGGGTCAGTAATACTAAGTCACACCTCCTTAGCTCCTTAATGTCTAGGCCAGCCCCATGCACCAGGCCTCCACCCTGGCAGCACCTCTCTCCTGTCAGACTGGCCTACTCATTGCTTCCTGAATGGGCTCATAATTCCAATGCATGTGAATTCTCTGCATGGAGCACACTGCCCGTTCATGTCAAAGCACCCCATGTCCCACATCAGCATCCTTATTGCTGGTGTGCCCAACACTGATATCCACGCTGCAGGAAGGGTGAAGACCTGGAATCCATCTTACTGTGTCACACCTGTGCTTTGAAACCTTCAAAGGGACCTCTGTGCCATAGCCCTTATTAGCACAGAGAACCACCTTCCGTGCTGCTCCTTCAAGGTGGTTCAGTGTTAGGTTTAGGGAAGGGTTGACCCAAATAGCTTTGGGCATCTAGACCTGTGGAAGAGCTTAGAGCTCCCAGAGGATGACTGCACGTGGCAGCCGAGGGAGGTCTGCTTTTGGCATGGCAGTCATTGCAGGGAGCTCTGTTCTCCCTGCTGGACTCTGCAATTCCTTAGTACATTGCCATGAGCAGCTCATAGGAGAGAGTTGGGATGACTGACCGGGAATAGAAAAGGAGAAATTATTGTGGTGGGCAGAGTGAGGAAAGCAGTTGGTTCTGAAGACAATTCCGTCTGAGAACTCTTCCAAGTGTGAACTGAAGTGGGATGTTTACTCCTTGAATTTGTTTCCCCCTTTTTAGAGTATTGTACCAGCCACCGCTCGGTAGTTACATGGAGCTGATTAATTCCAAGCTCCTGGCATCATACATATGTGTGTATATATATGTGTGTGTGTGCGTGTGTGTGTGTGTGCATGTGTGTGTGTGTATACACACACATGAAGTATATATAAGCACATATATTTATAGATAGATAGATATACTTTGTAAGTGTTAAATCATTCAGGGAAAGAGGAAATTCATTATTTTTACTGTGTCTTTGGAGATAAATATAAAGACATGAACTGGGAAATCCAGTGCTATTTTGCTTTCTTTTCTTGGCTGCGTGGGTGGAGTAGATGGGACATGTTTCATTTTCTAGACTGAACCCATCTGTGCACAAAACCAGGCCCCATCTTGGGGTTACCATTGGGACTGGCCGACTTAAGGAACTAAGCTTGGCTCATGGTGGGGACAGTCTCTACGTGGTTATTCTGTGACTGTCCACATCTTTCAGAAATAGCATGCTGCCCCCCATGCCGAAACTGACTATATTTAAATGTCAGCCCCCAAAGGCATGAGGTGGCAATGTTCCCACATACGTATTCTTTCACTGCAGAGCGGGTTGCACAGTCAGCTGAGTCCATTTCCGGAAAGTTCTGTTCATTGAACAGTATACTTAGCATCAAGACTTTTTAGAGAGCAGTGAAATAAAAACAAAAAGAAGGTTTTTGTGCGCTAAGTAAGGAAACATTCATTTTTGCCAGGACAAAATGTGTTAAAAGAATAAATTATATTTTAAGGGAAATGTGAATTTCAAAATAACACTACCAAAAAAAGGGATTTTATTTTTCTACACTTTCAGTCAGGATTCCTTCTGTCAGGAATGGTAACCAGGTCTTGGTAAACAATGTCCTCAGAGAAAAAAATCAGTTTTTTGTTTTAATTTCTGAATTTGAAATAGACACCTACATTTCCAGAAACATTGATATTTCATTTATACAATTCTTTGGTCAACCCGAGAAACTCAGAGCTCCATAATAATGCCACTTACTTCTGATATTTTGATAACAAAAAGCATGGGTTTGTACAAGATAAATGGTATACTCTCAAAATGTTGATTTTCTGGCTACTGAAAATAAAATTGGATTTCCTAGAAGTGACTATAGGTTGGAATTAAACATTTAGTAGGTGTCTGAGAATGTTATAATCATAGGATAGTTATAATGATCTTTTTGTAATTAAAATATATTTTTAAAGTCCCACTTAGAAGGAATAGGATGCCATAAAACTCTAGGTCATTAGTAGTGATCTGGGTGTATGACTGCATTTAAAAATGACTGTTGTCATCTGACTGTAGAGTATTTGTCATAAATGCCTAAGTGAATGTTAATGAGTTGTTTACCATGTACTAATATTAACTTTCTTTCCCCAGATGCAAAGAGTTTAGCTGAAATGCTCATGAGGTAAGAACAAGACCCAGCACCCCAGATATCATGTTTGAAAGAACAATTTCCAACTTGCCTTGATTTCTTTTTTTTTAATAATGGCAGTCTGAAATTGATAATATTGATAATGTCTTTTCTTTTTAGAAAAGAATGTAATTTCCTATACATTCCAAAATATCCATGTAACACCTAGCTGGAGATGTAGATGAAAATGATGGATCTGTAAACATGCCACAGGTAGTTGTCTTGTTGGCTGGGCACAACCAACATTAGCCTGGGAACAGAGGCACATAAAAAGGAAGTAGCTTTAGTTTTGCCTTCAGCTAAATTTATTACTCATGAGGTCAAGCCTTCTTTCCAACAGAGTCATCCAACTTAAAAGAAAAGCGCAAAAGGAATGTGCTGTGCCCACGCTCTTTGAAGGCTCTGGGTCGCCATCAGTGCCCTCCACCAGAGCACCCATCAGCTCCTCTTACCACGGTCTCTTCTGGCCCTGGACGTCACAGCCTTCGTAGTTCATCCTCGTGTTAGGAGTAGCCAGCACGGTAGTTGCCTCACTGATAACTGTGGAGGGGAGGAATAAAGAGTGGTTCTGAGTAACTAAGAGAACGTTCGCAACTGTGGAAGACGGAAATGCATCCTTCACGGCTTTTCTTTCACACGTCCACAGGCCTGTGATAGGCAAAGCTGTGACAAGTGTGCTTCCATGTCCCCAAATTCCATTTTCCACCCACACGCCCTCTTCAAATGTTCAGTTTTCTTATGCTGGCCAACCTTTTTACTCTGTAAAAACCGGAACTCTCTGACATGAAGTATTTACACATATGGATTAATTGCCTGATGTGTTACCTCACCCTGATACTTGCATTTTAGGCCTTTCATGATGCAATGATTAAATGAAAAGTAAAAAAGGAAAATCAGGGTCTAGGAAATAAGTAAGAAAAATGTCAAGGACTCTGATGGTGAACTCAGCATTGCCAGTTTAGGATGATTTATGTGGGAGAGAAAGAGGGTGGGTCTAGTACCTCTTCCCTCTCCCATCACCAACACAGTTGGCTGTGACTTCCTCCTCCATCTATACATATAAAAGTAGTACTTTTTTGTTATTTAAAAACGTCCCATGTCCCATATCACCAGTATCTTTGAAGACCAAAGGCAGAAGTAGAATGTCATTGGCACATAGATTCCATCCTACAGACATTTTGTTTGGCCATACTGTATTTTGAAACAATGTGAATCACAGATAAACAATAATATGAAGGATAACTCTTTTTTTTTTTTTGAGGTGGAGTTTTGTTCTTGTCACCCAGGTTGGAGTGCAATGGTGCAGTCTCAGCTCACTGCAACCTCCGCCTCCTGGGTTCTAGCGATTCTCCTGCCTCAGCCTCCTAGGAGCTGGGATTACAGCCCGCCACCATGCCCAGCTAATTTTTATATTTTTAATAGAAACAGGGTTTCACCATGTTGGCCAGGCTAGTGTCGAACTCCTGACCTCAGGTGATTCACCTGCCTCAGTCAGGCATGAGCCACCATGGAAGGATAACTGTAAAATACGTTTGGTGCGAGTGATCTGATGAATGTTGGTGCCATCTGCCAAGATTAGGAAGATAGAGGCAGGGTATGAACTTTTGATTTTTTTGGAAGGTACGTTGGGAGGAGGTGCTGATGGGAATGAAAAGACCTGTTTGGGTCACGTTGAATTTGGGATTATTTTCAGGCATCCAGAGAAAGTGTCAAGTAGACAACTGGTAGCAGAAGTCTGGAGCTCAGAGGAAAAGCAAAGATGCAAGTGACCTGTACATTATCGCCTTCATAAGGGGCAACTACTCACACGTCCATGAGAAGATGACAGAAATTGCACAAGATGCCTTCAGTCCGTGCTCTTTGTTTGTGTGACCTTTATGGGTCACAGGGAACACATCCAGACACACATAACACTTGTGTTGAACAGATATGATAAAACGTGGAAAACAAAGAAGTCAGAGTCACTTGTAATCACTGATCTACCTAATAAAAGAAACTGTCGAAGGTAGACTTTAAAAATATGAATTAGTTGATGACATTTAAAATGAGGAGATTTCACATAAAATTTGACTTTCTGATTTTTCTTGAAAATGCCCTGGCCATACTGGGCACCACTGAGGTGATAATGGTACCAGCGGCAGGCACAGCGTCCCTTTAGAATGGCGCAACTTTTGCTCACCACAGCAGCTCCAACCCCCACCCCACACGTGGGCTGCTCCACCAGTCTGTACACTGAGCAGGGCTCTGGCAGCCCCCTCTTCTTAACTGGGCTCTGCACCACCTTGCCTGGCCCCCTCCCTATCTACTTGCAAACTGTAAATCATGCTTTTCCCAGAGGCTGTGAAACTGAGGGCTGAACATGTGAAACTGACATGTTCAACATTTTTTCAATTAGAGTGATTTGCTTTTTCACATCTCCTGACACTCTGGGGTGCATTCCTACTCCTTCTCACTAGCCTCTGAGCAAGACATTAGCAAGCATCCTTTATGAACAGGGCAGTTGCTGTGGATGCAAGACCACCTGTTGAGAAGAGGAGGAATTAATTATGTTCTTCCCATTGCCAGTTGCCAGCGTGAATTAGGAACAGTGAAACCCGTAATCTCAACGACTGATGATATAGTGGTTTTCCTTCAAAGGGTCAAAGTGATTGAAAAGGAAGAGAGTTTTCAAGCTCCTCAAATATGTGGATTTGTATGGGATTAATTTAGAATTAAATGCAAAGCTTTTAACCATGAAATGTTGGTTCAATCTAAGTTTGGCAGGTGAATGGGCCAAGCAAAGATCTTGTTACCTAACTGGTCAATTTAGGATCAACCATATTTGGATGTGGCCCAGGAAGTCCAGAACAATCATGTCCATTGGCAAAGAGAAGGATACTGAACAGCTGCACCTGGTCTGTACTGCTGATTTCTCTGGAAACTGGAGGAGCTAGCAGCCCGGTGCAGTGAGAATCAGAGAGACTATGAACCACAAGTCTGTGTTCTAGGCCTCTTATGGCCATAGGCTGTTTTCCAGATCTTAGCACGTCATTTTACGACTTTATGACTTGATTTCCTTACCTAAAAAAATAGAATAAAATTTAAAAAATTCAACATTGTTTCTAGCTTTATCACTCCATGTCCTGGGTTCTAGGTGGATGTAACATTTATTTTTCAACCATTTTCTACCAAGAAGCATCTGCATATTTCAGGGAGATTATCTGAAAGCCAGGCCAGGAAGGCAGATTAGACAGCTGAACCTACCTACTCAGCCTGGGTTCCCAGGGATCCCTGGCATGGCAGCATCACTCATCACTGGGCTTCATGCTTCTAGATATCCACCTGTTTCCCCTGCACACATCACCCTGCGGAAGGGAGACTGCATCCCTCACACCCCGATAGAAAGATTGTACTTTTATATGTTTATGCAAGATTATTTTTGTTAAAAAAAAAAAAAAAAAAAAAGCCTTCTAAGAGATGCTTGCTCTGAAGAGCTAACCTGTACACTGTAGAGAGCTAACATATATAATGTTTAAGGTCCAGGAATCAGTATTAGTGAGTGAGTTGGGGGTAAGCAGAAAAAGATTCCAATGGAATGGTCAAATTAGCTTGGCTTTTTTGATGTTCATATTTTTGTGCACATAATTAAAAAAATCTCTACCTTAGTGTTATAATGAGCTATGCTCCTAACAGCCACCTAGCCATTGTACATTTAAGGAATGTCATATTTGGGAGGATGACAGGCTATTAAGACTTTGAAGGGTGATAGTGACCGCAAATAATTGACTGGCTAAGATGGGATATTCTCTGCTCTGTGAACCCTACTCTGCTCTCCTCTTCTCCTCATTTTAATCAACCAGATGGCAAATAAATAGATGGTTGAAGATGATAGTTCAGTGATAACTAATATATTTAGCATGATCCTGTGCCATACAAAAAAAGATGCGATTTTTGCATCCACAGTGAAAACATTTGGACTCTTTTCCCAGGTTGCAAATGAAGTTTGTTCAAATCATTTTAAGGTTTGCTGCCATTCTAATGACCAATCATTATCATTTTTGAGGCTCACAGAACACAGAGTAATAAATATAAATATCACAATAGATTGTCAAAATGACTGCAAATATTAAGTAATAAAATAACTGAGTTGGAATCCAGTAAGTCTTTTAGAATGAGAAGGATATTATTGCCTCAAAACAAAGTCTTGGGGGACATCTCATTCAGCTCATATTGTGTCCCCAAAATAAATCAATGTGAAGATTTACTTAACAGACATTTATTGAACACCTACTTTGATCATACACTGTTCTAAGTTCTGGGAAGACACAGGAAACAGAACAGATGAAGAAAAACCCGGTGGTGCATATTTTCCTGTGAGAGAGGCAGAAAACGGATAAGATAAATCCATTAAGTATATGCTAGAGTGTCGTAAGTGCCAAGGAGACAAAATTAAACAGAGAGTGGGGAGAAGACCCATGAGGCATCCCCATCGCAGGGCCAGCCTGGCTCCTCTGGAGAGATGGCACCTGAGTCCAGCCTTGCAAGAAGGGAGGGAGGCAGCCATGCAGATTTTTGGGTTAGCAGGGAAAGGGTGTTCTAAACAAAGGGAACAGCCAAGTGCAAAGAGAAAGAAGAACTGTGAGTCAGGTCAGGTGCAGCGGCTCACACCTGTAATTCCAGCACTTTGGGAGGCTGAGGGGCTGATTATCTTGAAGCCAGAAGTTAGAGCAAGAAGGAACTGCGATGAACCGTGATTGCACCATTGCACTCCAGCCTGGGTGACAGAGCAAGACTCTGTCTCTAAAATAGAAACGATAACAACAAAGCAATTAGCTTCTGAATCTCCAGTCTTGTTGGGCCATTTTCTTATAGTCTTCCAAGGAGGAAGAATTTACTCCCAGCCTTGGTTGTCCTGGTTCGCAGGGTTTAATCATGTTCTAAATCTTGGTGCCAGCCAGTGGCGGTGGTTCACAGCCATTATTTAGCCTGCTTCCTGTGTCAGTCTGATGGCAGACCCCTTATTGTTGTTTAAGTGTAGCCTGCACTTGGTGTTCATCGCTATTTAATAGAGCAGCCGCTGACTGCCTCATAACTATTCATGATGAGCAGAAGAACTAGCTCACACTTCTATTTTTGGTACAAGGACAAGCTCAAGTCCCTAGTGAGGTTTCTAACCAGATCTTTTGGATATTCACAGAGGAGTAGTTCCCCATATGCTTTTGTGGAAATAAAGCTTATCAAAGCATGCCATAAATGCAGCCCCCTAACTAATCAAGATGCTCTTCATTTTATAAGATTATTTGAATTTTTACATTCCTCTCTTTAAAAAAAAAACAAACATTAAAACATGAGAAGTTAGCTAAGTAAGTAATTTGAAAGAACACAGAGACCATGTGAAAAATCAGGACAAAAGTTTGAATTTGGGCTCTGCGTAATTAGCATGATGCAGATACATAACCCAGTTCCTCATCGGCAGAGCAAGAAATCTGGTTCAAGATCACGTCCTAAGTAGCGATGTTGCATCTTTCAGAAGCTGTCTTTTTCATGTGGTAATTTGTTTTTACTCAAATGAGGCATATACATGGATCTCATCAGGCAAACATCTAAGGAGGGACTTGAGTGAACTTTGCTTTGGGATTATGAAGGTTCTGTCCACCACTGGGTTCAAGAGTGGATGGGTCCTTATTGACGAGAAGGATCTGTGGAGGCAGAGCCCTGGGACTGGGGGTGAATGGCTCGGATAGAGGGGAAGGCATTTAAAATGTGGCATGAGTACCCCTCTTTTGGTCTCCATTAAAAGTAACACAGGGGCACACCATCATTGAGTGAACTAGGCTCCAAAAATCTTTCTCAAAACCAGTGTTAACAACGATTGAACCGGACTGATGAATGCCATGGATTATGCCATTGATTGCATTATCCGAGTGACCTCTGCTACTTAGAGGATGCTTCAGTAAATGCTATTTGAACATCTAGTAAAATGATTATTCTGTAAAGACTGAACAACCACCCTTCTAATGTGGATTGCTAATTAATTTATCGACTTCTTTAGATTCTTGTGCAATGTGGAGATTTTTTTTTTAACTGCAGCCTATGACGGAATACAATCCTACCATGCAGTTTTACTACTTATTTTCATTTACTTTTAGAGAACAGCTCACTCTAAGAGTAATTTTCTGGTACACAAATTTTGAGATAAAATTATTATAGTAACTACTTTTTTTCTACTCTAACGTGTACTATCAGTTAGGAAAACTAATGTCAGAGAAGCTAACAAGGCTTGTGATTTACTTCTAGAACAAAAATAAAATGACACCAGATATAAATACAAATGCTAATGCATTGTAAAGCCCCTGGCCAACAAACAGCTGGAGCACGTGCTTTTTCCTTCACCATCTTTGGAATATCTGGTGCTTTCTTCCTCACCATCACTGGAATATCTCACATCTGAAAAATGAAAATGTGGCTGTTTTTTAATTTTTTTATTTGTTTCATTTAGCATTTACACAAGAAATGAGAACTTTCTAAAGTTCTATTGATAGATGTGGAGCCAATCTCTATTGACAATTTGTATTTTTTGAAACTCCCCAGTCAGATTAAATTTAATATTAACAAATAGCATTTGAATGGAGGACACATTTTTATAGTAGGTACTTTTCCTGTCCCCTCCCCACAAGGCATTTGTATATTTAGACAATAAACTTAGTTGGTATACAGGTGCATGTTGGTAGAATGTTAATACTGAACTGGATTTGTTAATGCATTCCCACATTTTATTCCCAGTAAGAATACCCGGACTTCAGATACCTTAAGCAAGCAACAGCAGACCCTGCGAATGCATATTGACATACCCAGGGCTCAACTTTTGATTGAAGAGAGAGACACGATGGAGACCATCGGTAAGGTGCCCTATTTACCACTTTACACAAAGTGGCTGCCACAGCCATGCCTTCTCAATCAAAACCCCAGGGTGTGGAAAATATTAGACAGGAGAGAGTCTTGAATGCTATGTGAGTACAAAAGTTAGAAGGCAGAGAATTTCTATTGTGAAAAAGAATAAGTACCAGCAAATGTGCAGAAAATTTGAAATACCACCCTATGTGCCAATATGCCAGTCATTTCCAGGACAGAAGTACCCCCAGCTCTGATCCATTTAGGATCTTTCCAGGGGAGGTTACTGATGCCACTCCAAGGAATAAGCATCTGTAATTGAATATACATCAATCCAGAGGCCTGCACTCTAAAGCCCCAGGTTGAAAATCCGCTCTGTTCTCCCCTCATCAACTCTGATAAGGCGAGCCTTCATTAAAGAAAATGTTAAACCATACTGAACACTTAAACACATGGCTTCGTACAAAGTATCGTCCCCCACATCAGCACCCCAGAAACATCCTCCAGCTGTTTGCCCAGCAGCACTTTGAGAAACACCAGGGCCCTAGTTTTAGGGTTTCAGAACAGCCACCTGGAGGCTCTCTGTTTTTTTTTTTTTTTTTTTTTCCACCCAGAACCCAGGTGTCCTCACTCTTTCCAGCTTCTTTTCAGCTAAATTCCAGTACCCCACACTGCCTGCCTCAATTACTCTATTTAATCCAGAGTCAAAGGCCTTCTATTTCCTTTCGAATAATAATGAGAAGAATAGCTGACACGTATTGAGAGTTCTGTAAACGTCACATGCTTTTTATAAGTACTTCATGTGCATTATTTAATTTAACCAACATGTGAAGGAAGTCTTGCTTTCGTAACCAAGATGTAGAGAGGTCTGTGTAGCTTTCCAAGGTCACCAAGATAGGAGCAGAACCAGGTTCCCCAGCTGGCCACGCTCACCACTATGCTATCTGTCTGCAGTGACAGGCAGCTAGCACAGCAGCAGGCCACCTGCTTCCCCTCCAACAGGCTGCTTCCAAGAAACCTCAACCAGGAGTTACCCAAGCTTTTGAGTGCCCATGGAAACACTCTGGAGCAGGCTCCGAGGCTGCCTCTTTTCAAACCTGGCTATGTTTGTTTTGGAAGGTGTTTGCTGGCCTGGGTCCCAGGGCAACCCTTTCTTGCGGTCTGGATAAAACTACCTGACTCACAGCACAGCCCAGCTGGGAAGGCAGTGGTAAGAGGCCAGGTGGGCAGAACACCTCCTCCATCACCCCCCCCACTTCTGCTGCCCCACCTGCCACTGGAGACATCTTGACCTAATAGTTCCTAAATTCTAGGGCCTGGGCCCTCCTGGCTGGAGTCACATTTGGTCCAGGCATAGCAGCACTTAAAGAAAGACTGGTCAAGTCCAAAGTGTCTCTTGATCACCTAATTTCAGTTAAACGCTTCAGTTAAACCATGTATGTAAGGAGGCACTACCTCACCTAAAGTACACAAGATTTTACCAGCTTGCTTATATCAGGATAAGGGATGAGCTGCTGTGTTTTCCTTTTGATTATCTTCTTTTTGGGGGAAAAGAGAAGGTATCCCTGGAATCTCCTTTGTTTAACCAGTAGATTGGACGTTAAAACTAAAATTTCCTTTGAAAAAATTTCAAAAATCACAATGTAATTCCTTTGACCATGTAATTTTATAAGCCCTTTATATGCATTATTTAATTTAACCTTTCCAGCCAACATAGGACAAGGTTCTTTTATAACTGAGATGTAGAGAGGTTGCTTAGCTTGTGGAGGTCACAGTGGTTGTGTAGCATGGTTACCATATTTGCTAAATGTGCATCACTAGACTTAATCATCCTACATGTGGCTATGAAAACAGATAGCTAGGCAGATGCCATGAGTGGGCTGTGGCCTGCCAGGAGCTGGTCACTGGGGGCTTAACCCCAGAGAAAGCCTGCCAGTCATTTCCATATGTATTAAAGACTCTTAGCTAGAGATCCATCCCAGTCCACACGGGATTATCTATCAGCAAGAGCCCTTGACCTCCTTGTCATTCCTGACAATTGGTCGATGGCATTTTCTAATTACTGGGGAAGTAGAAATGTGGTATTTCAAAATGCCCCGGGCTCTGACAAGAATCCAATATTACAGTGACACTAATTTCTATCTAGAATGAATGGTTAACCTCATGATCAGACAGGCACCCAAAATTTTCCATGAAAAGTGTGTAACCTAGCCCCACAGATCATCTGCTGTCCTCCAAAAGGGCCTGCATGCTAGAAACTGCGACACATCCCGTCATTAATGAAAAACAAATGTAGACACGGAGCCTCTGGTGCTGGGTCCAGATGTAGGAAACTGTCTCTGTAGAAGAGCCATCCTCTCTGAGGAGTCAGGTGATCACCACGGGGCCGGACCTCCACGCCAAGCCCTGGCACCTGCTGTGGTGCCAACCTCATTGCACCATGCGCTGGGATACTCGCAGGCATCTTGGCAGCCTTTCCTCTATTTCTCTGCCAAGAAATTTTATTCTAACTTCAAGAGGCTTTCCTTTCCTGCCAGGGCCTGAGTAATTGGATTTGGTAAGGTTCATTCTGTTCAGAGCCTTTTTTGGGCACAGAAGTCGAGCGGTGTTGTTTACAACTTTCGCGTCCCTGTTGCAGTATCAGGGCAGGCTGCCGTGTGGTCCCTGCTGACTGATAAACTCCTAGCAACAGCATCATGAGCTGCAGCCTTTGAACATTTATGAAAAATCATATATCCTAGCCAAAGTCTCACTTGGAGTAAAAATGCTCTTTAAAAAGTGTGGAAAGTATCACAAGGTAGTCATGAGAATCCTGGACCACCAAATGACGCAGCTCAAACAGCTGCTCCTGCTGCAAGCACTGAGATGCCCAGAACCCATCCAAACCCAGGCTCCTGCCTCACTCACCTTCAAGTGTCTATGTTAGCAGGACTTGAAAATTCTGACAAGTGAATCATTCAGGAGAAGTCAATTAGTGGATGTTCTAGAGTGATTAAAGCTTACAGGAGGTAGAAACAAAAGGAACATACCTTGAGTCCTTTAAAATAGAGAAATCAATAAGCTCTGAAGACTGGCATGTTTTCTTCTCTTTTATTTCCCCTCCAAACATTTGCCAAGTTCAGAACAAGAGCAAACCTCAGTAGAAAACTGCAGTGGCTATTTTCTAGTCCTGCAAACAGAGCTTCCCAGCGACCAAAAGGACCCATCTTCATTGACAGCCTCATCACTGGTGAGGGGGCTGGCATTGCAGATGACGTCTCAAAGGAACTTTTGACAAACACATAAATCCAGAGCTCAAATCAACGTTAGCTTAATGAAAAACCAAGCCCAAAGAGAAAGGAGAGCTCCTTCTCTGCATAGTCATCGTTCTTCTTAGCTCATTGCTCCCAAAGCCAACCGCCAGGAAGAAGCTTCTATTCCTAGTGCTCTAGAGTAACACTAATTCAGTGTTTGAATTTGCAATCATTTTTGCCACTTTAGATGCGGCTATGACTGTGGTTGTCATTAACAATAACACAAGTGCCTTGGGAGAGAAAAGGCCAGGGCATGGTTGGAAGGGAGATAAATGTGTTTGGCTTTCTGTGTTCCTGCCATCCTGTAGATGATCGCTCCACGGTTCTGTTGACGGATGCTGACTTTGGAGAGGCAGCTAAGCAGAAGTCCCTGACGGTCACTCACACGGTCCATTACCAATCGGTGTCTCAGGCCACTGGGCCCTTAGTGGATGTTTCAGATGCTCGGCCGGGAACGAGTGAGTGGTCAACAACACTTAAAATGTGTGGGTGTTAACAACGCTGAAAACATAGTCACGCTCTTTCTCTCTCAAATGAAAATGGGGGATGGGGGCTTTCAGACCTAGGCCTGAGAAACAAATAGGTATAATGACATCTTTAATTTGGGATAATGAGTTGTTATTGATGAATCCTGGCTATTTTGATGTCAGTTGAAGCCAATTACAGTTAATATTGTTTACTATAAAAAGTGCTAGAAATTTCAGGTACATGTATTTGTTAATCTAGGCAACACACGAGGCGGTAAGGTAATCCACATTGGTGTGTATGTGCTGTATACCAGTATTGGGATAGAAAGATGATGTCATGCACTTTATCTTTGCAACAGTCCTATAAAATACCTATCATGAAGCAGATATCATAGCCTCTATTCTGCAGATAAGAAAACTGAAGCCTCAGATAAATTATGCAAACAGCATAAAGTTGCACACATAAGTAATAAAACCAAGATTCAGCAACAGACCTGTCTGTTTTCAAAGCTTATGCTTTTCCCCCGAACACTGAGAAAAATTATAGTTAATGTGAAGATTATGTTGGATTTCGTAATTAATATTTGCATCTGTAATATATGGAAATTAATTGCTGCAATGACGGTGAGTCCCCCAATATGTATCTAGAGCTTATTAATTAGATACTCTTATTTCTTCATAATTGGAATCATTCCTAAATCTCTTGAAAGACTGAGAAATTGATGTCCTGATTATTATCGTTTTGGAAGCTTTGATGTCTACCTTTCAAATCTCTAATCAATTTCTTTGCAAAAATTTACATTCTTACAGTACTGTGTTATCATTAGAAAAATAAATATTATAATGTTAAAAGCTATTCTTCATAAATCCCAGCTTGGGAAGCATTTGGAAAATGCAGTGAACTTTATGAAGTAAACCCGTTGCCTACGAAATAACCTTGTAATATACAGAAAATGGTTTCAGCAGGCATTGACATTCCTTTAAAAAAATATTTTCAAGGACATTCTAAAGAAGTCTTTTACCTCTTCCTTTTGTCTAATCTTCTTCCCCCCCTTTCTTCTTTGATGACATTAGTACCTTCTGAAGACATTAGTATCTTCTGAACGCGATGTGAGTGTGAATAAGCTTTGCCAAAGAGTGTGTGCCAGAGCCTTGCTCTTAAAAAAATGATTCAGGGGCTTTGGCTTCTCCACCGTGAACTGCCTGGTGTGGCTTCCTGCTACTTCAAGACACTATTCCGATGGGTTTCTCAGCCATTTTTTGCTGCTAAATCAGAAAAAGATTATAGACATTGAAAGGAGTAGATTTTTAGAGCAATGCAACCTTGGCTTCAGCACTCTGTTGGAAAGGGTAGCAAAAGAGCAGGGAAAAGAGACAACAGAGCAGGTGCCCTGGGCCGCGTTCTCCACGTTTTCCATGCATCTGAATCACCTGGTGCCTATTTAAAAATATCGATTCCAGGGCTCCACCCAGAAATCTGCATGAAATCTGCATGGTAACAAACACCCTGGGTGATTCTAATGCTGGCTGTTTGGACCCCGAATTAAGATACACTGCCCCAAGGGTTAGAAATGTGTCCTGTATGTAATGCAGCAGCGCAGGACCCCTCCAGCACATCAGTTCTTCCTGCCAGGTAAAAAGCAACATACATTTCTACTTCCCCTTCAGTGGTCAGCTAGCAGCCGAGAATGCACAAAAGCTAGTCATAAATAGTTAAGACAGGAAAAGCAGCCCGAAACAAAAGCACTGGCAACTTCCAGCTGCATGGCCAGCCCCAGAATAACGGGGAAGTTGATTTGATGTCATGTAAAATATCAAAGAGACATGAATGTGAGTCACAGCAGATACTGTAAACCAGTGGTCAGTGAGTAGCAGGCAGGACACACATGGGAGGGATGTGTGTTTATCTCATGGCTATAAAGTTGGAAGCAGGGCTGGGAACATTAGTGCATTCATTCAGCCCTCAAATATATTTATTAAGGTTTCACTTTACATATATGGCTCAGTGCTCTGTGATGGAGATACACCACGAGTAAGATGCAGAAAGGCATTCATTTCATTGTAGTCAGGGGGCAGACATTGAACTTGGAACTAAAGGATTTTTCATTTCTCAGTAAGTACTAGACAGAAAGAGAATGAAGCCATGGTGAGTCAGCGGGCATGTTGAGCGGTGGGAGGGGCTGTCTTGGGTCCAGGTCATTTGGGAAGACCTCCAGTGAGGAGAAGACATGAAACAAGATCAGAGCCACAGCAGGAGCAGACGGGGATGAAGGGAAAAGCTCCCAAGATTCCCCGCATGATGAGGATGAAAGTGACACTGGAGCGCAGTGAAAGGCAGGGAAAAGGTGAGACAGAGAAACAGTGGTCCTCCCCTTGCAGGGTCCCCTAAGCAAGCACCTTTCAGGTGCATTTCATTCTGAAAGTGCAGAGATGCTGTCCCAGGAGCTTAGCCTGATGATCACAGGGAAACACTGCCGCTTACAGAGCAATGTTTCTTTCCTTTGTGACGAATTTCACTAAATGATGTTTACCAACATCAGGTAAATCTACTCAAATGTGTACATCGGTCCCCTGGTTCCCCGCTCTCTCTCCAAAATGAGTGTATTCATTTAGCACTTGCATATCTGTATTAGTAAAATATCTTCTGGATCATCTTTTCATTCAGTGTTCCTCAAAAACCACAGTGCGAGGGACTGACAGCCCTCTATTTTTTATTTAAAATTAGAAATGATGGGTGATTGGCCCTGCAGTGGGTTCAAGAGTCTGAAGCCCATGAACTTTCTGAAGCACAGTCTCCTGCTAGCTTCTTGCACCAGGGTGTCTCCCTCTGCCCAGGTGTTATACCTCTGTAAATCCCATGGAGCAGCTTCTTCTTACTATAGTTTGGCATTTTTGCAGAGATTCATTTGTATTCTCTATTTTCTTGGCTACAGAAGACATCATGATTCTATTTTATATGTCAGGTCTGTGTTGTCATAGCAGGAATTCTTTATTTTTAAGAAGAGCATCTAAAACGTGTTGCTTGCATACCAGAATGACTGCATTGTAGAAGTTATTGTTCCTAAGCATTTTATTAGTTTGCCAGAGGGTTGCAACAGACCCTTATGAGGATGGTGAAATCATAACAATTTGCTATTTATCTGTGTCAGTTCATGAAAACACATCCCTTGGCTGATTCTGCTGCACTGAATACTTCTCTCTCTCTCTCCTGTGGATTATAATACACTGAAAAACTAGGACTCTATTCATGTCTTCATCGCCATTCTAGCCACAGTGTCTGACAAAGGCATGTAGTGGATAAATACCAACCAGCCATCAAATTCTGAGATCAGAACAATGGGAATGGAAAAGAAAAGACATTGCGTCATGTTTGCTGCACAGGAATCATGGGTAGGGCCAGCTGAGCCTGCCCCATGTGATCGGAGCACTCGGGCACATTAATCTCATTCAGACTTCAGGACAGCATTAAAGTAGGTGATGACGTCACCTAGTCTCAGAGACTAGGGGATTAGGCAGGTCTGACATGGTCACCTGGCCAGTGATACAGCCAGGCTAGGAGTGAATATGAACTTCCAGCCCACGTAACCTAATTCCAAAGCTCTCACTCTCAGTCGTTCTACATTGCCTTTAGGTAGAGAGCTACATACAGGACATGTAATAGACTTCACACACGTGCACATTCAATAACGAGAGCTTACAACGTGGACTTGAATCTTTATTGTTGAGACTGAAAAAAATTCCCTCTGTCACCCAGGATGGGACTAGCGATGGCCCTGAGGGAAATACCTGGGATGGGTGAGGTGCACCCAGTAGTCCAGGGTATAAAAAGCGCTTGATAAATACTTGTTACATGAGGGAGTGTTCAGGTCTGCCAGTTTCATCCTCTCTATGAGACAGCTAGTAAATTCCTCATGTAAAGCTGGACATCCGCAACTACAAGATATGGAAACCAATGGAACAGACAAAAGCAGATTAATACCATGATTGCAGCACACAGGACATGTTCTTAACCCTATTATCCAAAAAATTCTCTCATCCCAAACTCGGGATAATTAAAATAAATCTGATTCATTGGGCAAAAGTGTAATTGGGGTTCAGACCCCTTGTTGAAAGGCCATGAGCTATTTATATCCTGTGCCCTCTAACTCATGGGCTGTTGAGCAGGCATGATGCTTAATAACTGAGTTTTATTTATATTAGAATGCTGGGAACCTAACAAAATACTTTCCATTAAGGGGCAGTAAATCCCAGCATTTATTTGCTTAGATGAGTTTGTAAGTTACATTAAAAAAGGCTGCCTGTGGAATCCAAGTAAAAATTGTATTTTAGCTGCTGTCTTAGACATTATCATACAGCAGAGTTCAGTTCAGGTACAAAACAATGGCTCCAAAAACCCAATTATTAAAAAGCAAATGAGTCAAAAACCCCAGTATTCTACATATTAAGACCATTTGACCCTAGTATGCCTGCCTAGCGCAGAACAGGACTGCGGACTGTGGTTTAAGGAAACTAATATCATGACCTATATTTTCAGCATTATCAGGCCACCAGTAAAACTGTCCTCATCTAGAAAAAAAGAGATTATGAACAAAATTAACTTGAAAGGAGTCCTGGCTTTGAATCAAGGCTGACATGTGTGACTTTCCCTATTTTCCAAATAGGGTGAGCTCGATGAGGAAAGGAGCTATGACAGTGAAGAGCTTTGCCCCACCACTGGGGAGTGAGATCACAGGGAAGAAACGGGGGCTAAGGTTTGGGGGATTGGAGGAAATAATTGTATCCTAGAAATGGGACTAGCAAACTCTGCCCCCCAAACACCCCTCAACTTCCATGCCAGGAGTATAACCTGTTCAGAATGAGCTGCAATAGTTGTAGTTGCAAGAAACTTAAAGAAGAATAAAAATGAGAATTTTCAAAACTTATGTAAGGGACTGGGTACTTTTCTGGAAAAGACTCATTAGCATTTAAATAACAAGCTCCACTTATTTAAACTCCACTTATCAAGTCGATAGTTCCTGGAAGACATTTAGCATCTTACCCAGCATAATGTTTTTCTCTCTTTTTGAGGACCTCTTTCCTAGCATTTCGGTGAAAAAAACCAATTATCATTCATACCTGGCTGTGTAGAGCTCCAGCATAACTCATTTACATTCTCATCAAGGCCGAGAAAATCCTCTAATGAAGTCTTCCATGAAATTGTGCAAGTAAGGGATGAAATGTGTCTTAAAATCAATGCCCCAGAGAATATTCACCAAGACTGAGTATTCTGATTTAGGAAATCTTAAAATCCATCTCTTTGGCTGCCATCTTAACGCACCTCTCCAGCAACATAGGAAGATAAATGAGGTTCAAAGTACAATTAACTAGACACTTGCAATGAGGAAATCTTCCATTTAAAAACAGTCATTTCACCTTCCCAGTGTTAGCCTTTCACATTCCAACATGGAATTATATGCAAGCCAGGGTCATGCAGACACCGTACTAGGAAACTTAGACACCCAGGATTTGGCCATATGTGGTCAAGTAACAGGCATTAGCTGAACTGAACAGGCAGAAGGTTTGGGTTACATTTTTATCATTTAACAGCTGCATCATTTATCTCTGAGCTTCCATGGCCTTCACAAAGTGACACAAGGTGTATGAATTCCTTCACAAAATTCTGTATGTCAGGCTCTATGGATGGATCCAAGAAGGGATACCATAGCTCCTATCCTGGAGACACTGCCAGACCCATGAAAGCACATAAATAAATCAGTGCAATAACATTCCCGGCTGGCCCTGTCAGTTTTGCTCCTTTGAAATTTCTTGAGGGCCCAACAGTGAATATAGTCTGCTGGGTTTAGAAGTGGCCAGACCATACTGAAATATAACTATATCAAACTCCTCTTTGAGAAGCAGAGAATTCAAAGGTAGAAAAGACCCATCTAGGACCTAGCTGCCTCTAAGCTAGAGCTCCAGAAAAATCATTCCAGGTAACCAAAGTTCTCTAATTTTCCACAGAATTCCAGAAAAGGCAACGTTATAGCCCACTCTGGTACCTGACAGTCTCTGCTGGTGGAATATCCTTTCTCCTAGCTCACCAAAGGGTTGAGCCAAGAACTGCATCCACCCCATCGACTTGCTGCCTTTGGTTCCAGATTTAGAAAAAATGAAACCTACCTGGCACCAGCTTAACCCTTTGCTCTCCATATTAAACAACCCAAGATATCTTTGTTCAAGTTAGGACAATTCTATTGAAGAGATGTGCTGTCATATGCAAAGGGCTTATGGAGAGTTGGGACATAAAAGTATGGTCCCTCTGCACTGGGAGCTTTCAATTTAATGAATAATACAGTCATAATTAAAACAATGAGTAATCTGAGAAACAAAATTACAGGCAACATCTTTATTAATTTCCTAGAGCTGTTGTAACGTAGTACCACCAACTGGGTGGCTTCGCAGCACAGAAAGGCATTTGCGTACGGCTGCAGACTCCAGTCTCTGCCTCCATCACCCCATGGCCCTCTCCCCTCCTGTGTCTGTTCCTTTTCTTATAAGGACACCATTCATAGTAGATTAAGGGTCCTCCCTATTCCAATATGACCTCGTCTTAGCTAATTTCATCTGTAATGACCGTATTTCCAAATCAGATCCCACATTCCGAGCTCCTGGGGTTTGGGACGTGAACATATGTTTTGAGGAGATACGGTTCACTCGTAACAACACCTAAAGTAGAAGAACTGTGGAAAGGAGGTCATGTTCAAACATACTAGGCTGAGCTTCCTTGTTTTACAGAAGATGATGATGCCCAGGAAGTTTAAATGACGTATGTCAGGTCATAACATTATTAAAGGCCAAGAGCAAGACTCAAATATGTAACTTCTGAATCCAAGTAGGCTGTTCCTTTCCCTGTAGGGCTAATTAACTGTGTAAGTATCAGATGAATGTTTCAAGCCATAAAGGAAAGGGGAAGCATCCTCTGCACAGGAGAAGTCAATGAAGTTTTTCTGGAGGGTGTGGGTGAGGGCAGGGGTGGGTGGGTGGCACTGCCCTCCGCTCTTGCTCTCAGCTGACCACACTCCTCTGCAGACAAAGACGGACACAATTCTTGGCTCTTCACAGATCCCACCACCAGGAGGAACGCCAAGGCTGGGCCCACGTCGAGAAACCGCTACGCCAGCCAGTGGACCCTCAACCGACCCCACCCCACCATCTCAGCACACACCCTCACCACAGACTGGAGGCTGCCAACACCCAGGGCTGCAGGATCGGTAGACAAAGAGAGTGACAGTTACAGTGTCAGCCCCTCGCAAGATACAGGTAGGCCCTGACGCTGCCTCCTCCGTCCCTGGGGACCAGCACGGCCCACGCACCTTGAGCTTCATGAGCTCCTTGGGAAGGGGAGAGGGGGCTTTCTCCCTCCTACTTGTGTGCTTTTGAAGGTCACTTTCAGATTGTTAAGCTGTTTATCTAACAGTTACCTATACAGCTGCACAGCCTTTGCTGCACATAAGGCAAAACAGCCACACTGTATCTATTCTGCTGGTGTCCTGAATCTCAGACTCAGGCTTCTCTCTCCTTTTAGTTCCTACCCTACTGGGAGAAATAGAGACCTTTTTAAATTTTCACCCCCATGATTGCAATAATTGCTGATTACACTCTGAGGGCGTCTGACCCACTACCATCTCCAGGATTAAGACACTGCACTTGAAGTTTCATGATGAGGCCCTAGCACCCTCTATAGGGAAGCTAGGCTGATCCGTTAGACAATTAAACAGGGGTTGAATATAAGGTAAGTCATCCAGTCTACGCCATCAACCACCAAGTTTTCACTTCAGAGAGAAGACAGGGCCTAAGAATAGCACTGGGTTGCCCACCACTCCCCCTTAAATTTTGGAAAGAAATTACATCTGAATCTAATAGCTGTAGGAAATTTTAATACTCATTTTTCTTTTGTTCTTAATGATCTACTTCAAAAACAGTGTTCCAGAGGTGGAGTGTCGCCATGTGAATTTATTTTTATGGCTGTGATTTATCTTAGAAGAGTCTCAGGGTTCCACAGAGGTGACCTCAAAACTTTTTAGTGCATTTGAAATGCAGAGATCTCGCTGACTAACCTGACATGGCCCAGCTCAAAAGCACGTGGGCTCCGGTTTTTGTCCCGATGGTTTTCTAGGCCCCATAGAGGGTGATAACAACAGAAGATGTATCCCAGGGGTTAGGGACCATTCTGGCTAGTGGCCAATTTCCGTGTAACATCACATCTTCATTTCTAAATATCACCACATCTTTCTTCCTGAGCTGAGGCCCCAGAAGCTGAGCTGCAGCTCCAATCATTCATACCGGTTAAAGAGTCTCTAGGGCATAGATCCATTTGCAGGTTGGAGCAGAGACAGGGGTGCTGCCACTCCTACTGTTTTCACTAAAAGCAGGATTTTCAAAGGGAATGCATTACTTATTTATGGAAATGTCCCAAGCTGGGACATCTGACTACAGCAATTTGCTTGCAACAAAGCTTCCCTGAGCCGGATCTGCTGAGGCTTGCGAAGCTGGCCTCAGAGTGCCTAAGGCAGGATCCTCTGACAAGGAGCCAGACCTCCTGCCACGTCCCACTGTGATCAGCGCCAAGCCAGGAAGGGTCATGCCATTGGTGCAGACTTCTGATGGTGAGTCGCCCGTCTTGTTTTTCTCTTTCACGGTGTAGATCGAGCAAGAAGCAGCATGGTCTCCACAGAAAGTGCCTCCTCCACTTACGAAGAACTGGCCAGGGCCTATGAACATGCCAAGATGGAAGAGCAACTGAGGCATGCCAAGTTCACCATCACAGAGTGCTTCATATCAGACACGTCATCGGAACAGTTGACGGCAGGGACAAATGAGTACACGGACAGTCTGACCTCCAGCACCCCTTCCGAATCGGGAATCTGCAGGTTCACTGCATCTCCCCCCAAACCTCAGGATGGAGGACGAGTGATGAATATGGCAGTTCCAAAGGCACATCGGCCAGGTGAGCAAGGCCACATGGGGGCCGTCGCCTAGGGAAGTGCTTCTTCCTGGTTCTCCCTCATCTGCTGTGAAAGCCCTTCTCAGTGTTCAGATGGAATGTGTGCTCTGTTTACTGATGGCTGCATAACAAACCATCCCAAAGTTCATTGGATTAAAACTACAGCAATCACTTATTTTGTTGATGAATCTGAAATGTGGGCGGGGCCTAGTGAGGGTAGCATGCTGCAGAGGCTCTCTTAGGGCTAGGGACCCACTTCCAAAGTGGCTCACTGACCTGGCTGTGTTCTCCCTGTGTAGGGCTGTCCACCGGGCACTTTAGCTTCATCACAGCATGGTGGCTAGGTTCTAGCAGCAAATGGCCCAAGACATAGTCTGTGGAAATAGCCAGTTTTCTTAGCTTGGCCCTGGAAACTGACACAGCATCATTTCTGCTGTATTCTATTGTGCAAGAAGTCACAGAGCCCAAGAAGCCCAGATTCCAGAGAAAGACGCCCCCACTGCTTGATGAGAAAGCTGTCAAAAATGTGAGGGCTGTATTTTAAAACTGCCACACTGAGGGCTTCTGAAAAGAGAGAGGTCTTACTGTAGCCAGTGTTTGGGACATGGTCTCACTGAATTACACAAGGTGATGGCAACTGGCTAACATTAGGCCAGCCAGTAGTTTGGTCTTCAAGCTGAACACCTGTGAATTGTCTCGGTTGTGAAAGAGCTGCAGATTCTGAGGTCTGCAGGGCCTGGCAGATAAAGAGTGCCGAGGTTAGAGAACAGGGTCAAAAAGAACATGGGCCATTTCAGAGCTCATTACTCTCTAAAGGAAAAGACTCTAGCAAGCCCCTGACAACTGATCTCAAGTGGAAATGGGGGCTTAGTATGGGCTTGTCTTGTAAGAGAAGCCAGACATCTTGGTTTTATATGGAAATTCACAGTTTTTTAGTGTTGGCTTGGATATTTGTAAACCATTGCACAGGGCAAATAAAACACATCTTCAGATGGAATCCAATCTAAGGCAGCCAATTGTAGTTCTCTTCTGAAGAATCACTTTTTCTTTTTCACCCTGAAATAGCTGCCTGTAGACTTTCCTTCACAAACTGACCTATCCAATCTTATTGAATCCAGTTTTGTTTCTCATTTTACCCATTTTCTGCTCCAGTGTTCTGGTTCCATTTCAAAAATGTATCTTCACTTTTGAATTACTGCAATTCCCTTGGGCTTTATGGCATAAGGCCTAGCTGAAATGAGCTTTATAAATGCATAAAAATATATAAAATTAGAATTGTCTATCCAGCAAATAATCTTCCAAACTGACTCCATATTCATGCCAGCACTCAATAAAGAATGATGGCTTCATTTATTTTCCTTCTGTCTACCTCCTCAGGGGAAAAGATGAGCTGTTATTTGTGGGCGTTTTTATTTTAACTATATTTTTTTTGGTGGTGTTGGCATTTATTTGCAAGGCAAATGGAGAAAAATGCAGGATAAATGCCATGGCTCTCTGCAGCTATTCAGCCTGAAGGTGAGGAGGACCCAAGAGAAGACCATGAGCCTGTGGGCATGTTGCGTACACGTTCTCAACTTCAGTTCCTGCATCTGTAAAATGGGAATGGCATTGATGACTATGTATTGGGTTTCTGTTAGATGCATGTAGCATAATACAGGTGAAGACGTCAGTAGAGGAGGCACTCAGCCATATTGGCCATTGTTTCTGGTGCTGTCTCGTAGCTGTGGTTGTTCGAATCCCCACAGTGACTCCAGTTGTACTGCTGGCCTCCTCTTCCTTCTTGCTTTTATTTTTCCCTGGTGACCACTGAAGCCCTAGCAGGCACCCACCTCAGTTGTGTGTCACCCAGCTAAGTACTTTACACTTCCTTTTGAGATAGCATGCTGCCATGTTCCGTTTGTGTGTGATTTAAGGCACAGAATGAGCTTCTAGGTTAAACGACTACCCTATTTGTGCAGACTTTTACATAATGACAGGGTTGAAGCTTCTTTTTGATGGCATGCTGATCATATTGTTGGATTTTTTTTCAAAGTTTGACCTTTGCTCATGACATTGTTGCCTGAATCCATTAGAGCAGTGGAAGATCAGTTACTATTGTCTTAATGTACTATTCAGAGTAAAATGCTTGTATAAATATAGGTTTGAATAGTGTTTTAAATCAATGCAAGTTCGAATGTCTACAAACTTTGTTTTGTCTACCCTAGATGTCTGTGTTATTATTGAACATCTGATATGCTTTAGAAAGTGTTTCAGCCTTTGGAAGCCTTTCCATCGCGCCTTAATAATTCAACTACATTCAACATTGGGCGTAAAACACAAGGTTGCAATTTACTATTCTGCTATCTAGAGGCTGTGGCACAAACATCAGCTCCTTGAGTTGTGCTCTTAAATCACGTTCTTTTCCTATGTACGTTCTTTTTTTTAATCTTGGAATTTATTTTTATTTTATTACACTTTAAGTTCTGGGGTACATGTGCAGAACATTCAGGTTTGTTACATAGGTATACATGTGTCATGGTGCATGCTAGGTGATGTCAGTCATGGTCAGTTTCCGTTCACAGTCTTCCAAATCTCTGGATATCTTTCTTCTCACCATTAGATCTTTTTCTTTTCAGATGCTCCTTTTTTTCTCTTTCCCTTTTTATTTTTTCTGTCTTCAGTACAAATAGTTATGTTCCCAACCTTTTATGTTCTCTGCAAATTGGGATCAAGTTACATGGATTTGGCCAGATTGTGGCTTCAGAAAAGTGGGAAACATGTGTTAGTTATCTTCATACTTCCTTCTCAGGGTCTAGCAGATACCTGATAGGCAAGTAGTTATCATTCAAGAAATATTGTTAAGTGAATTAATAGTATTGAATATTCAATATTATTAAATCATTTTTAAGATTATATATATATATAAAATCTGCTGTGTGTGTGTGTATATATAAAATATACACATACCTGGCACATAGTAAGTGCTTCATAAATGTTATTTTATGAATGGATATATCATGGTTGTGACAATGAAACCAGTTGGTTAAAAATTTCAATGACTAGAACCTATAGTCGAACATAAAAGGACATTTAAGTCGACTCCATCTTGCAGCGCCTTTAAACAAAGTGACTTATTTTCCATTCTTGCCCTTAGCAAATAAAAAAGACATCTCTTCAACAGATAAAGGGGTGCTTTCCCATGAAATGAGGATGGCTGTCCACAAAGCAGGCAGCAGAATCTAGCTATAATTTTAATGATATCTGAATTTTGAATTTGCTCGTACAAGTCCTAAAAATGCAGCAAATTATTGACTCCTTCAATAAGGGATGACTATTCCCATCTCTTGAAACAGAAAGCAAACCAAACCCTCCATTCCTCTGAGAAACAGCTACAAGGTGTAACCTCTTGTTTTCCTCTGGGTCAAGGTGGTTTCCAATTCTTTGATTACAGTACCCATTCTTGGTTTCAGGTAGTATTTCAAGTCAGTTTCAAACATTCTTGGATTACTGCTTCTTCTTATTTATGATGTTTATCCTATGCCATCAAGAGAAGCTATTGCATGAAGCTACTTAATTCCCTTTCAAGCTTCAGACGTGCACCCTGACAGAGTCTGGCCTACTAGTGGTAGGGAAAGGGTCATCCTCTGGATCTCTGTGCCCATGCTCTCTGGGCCCCAGACTCAAAGTTCTGAGTTTCAGTGCCTTCCTGTTGATGGCATTTGAGGTTTTTCAGTGGGAAAGGGCCACTGCCTGGTGCCAACTCGTAAATTCACTGTATTACCAGTAATTCAAAACAGTTACTGGATATTTTTAGGATCCATTCATCTTGCATCACTCTATCCTGACGGTGTAAGGGTAGAGAGTAAGACGCGGGGCCCCAGGCATGCAGAGAAGCCCGGAGCCCTTACCTGGAGGAGCCCTTAACTGAAGAAAGAGCTGACCTCTGCACAGTCAGCACTACTCTGACCAAGGCTGGCCTATTCTCAGTTGCCATTTTGACCTGCTGTTTTTCCTCTCTGAAGTCTGTGTGGCTCTCATGTTGTCTCTTAAATCAAAACAGGATACCAGCAATCCAATCTGCATAGCTAAATAACCCCCACGCCCAGCTTCACTTACCTGCATCTCCCTCACTGCCTGAGGACTGGGCTCAGACAGCTGGGACACCAAGCCTTGGGGCTTGAATCTCACTCCTCTGTTTTGCACATCACTAAAACTCAATTTTGAAATTTTTTTCATAAATATTATACTAAGGGTCTCCTTTCAAATGCAAGTCTCCTTGATGCTTAGACATGTGTGCATGGGAACACACATGCATGCACACATACATATTCTTATTCACACACAAGCTCACATGCATGGCATGCACACATGCATGGACACATGTGTTCACACACATGCACATATGCATGGGCATGTAAGCACATGCACCCATGCATGGATACACAAAGGAATATACACATTCTCACTGAACTGCTCTGGGCTCCACCTTTCTAGAGAAAGCCTTGCTCCCTCCCTCTCAGCCTCCCTGCTTCCCTGTCTGTCTTTGCCATGCATGTGTTGAGTGCCACTAAATGACTGGCCCTGTTTTGGGATCTGAGGATGCACTGAGACAAGACCCACAGAGATCCACATTGAAGGAGCTTCTGTTCCTGGGAGGCAGGCAGACACTGATCAAATAAACAAATGGTATCGTTTCTGACCATGGTGAGTGCTGGGCAGAGAAGCAAATCCAGGAAGGGGATAAAACCTGGAAGGAGAGTATTTTGGAAAGAATGGCCCAGAAAGGCCCCTCAGGCAATGAGATGTAAATGACGGGATGGAAAGAGCCCTTCCAAGATCCTTCTGGTGGTCCAGAGCGCTGAGCAAAGATAAAGGCCAGGAGAAAGGAATAAGCTTGGCGCTCACAACAGGGAACAAGCATTCCCTCTGAACTGCCAAACATATATGACCTTTCAAACACTCCTAAAACACATAGAATTTTAGGTTGAAAGAACCTTGGGGACATCCAGCAAAGCCTCCACATA